TCATATCACTTTTCATGAGTCTTCTGATGACAGAGGCAGTCCAAGCAGTAACACAACGCCTCTTACAGGACAGCACACTGAAGGTCAGAACTAACATAGCCCCCGACCACATCTGTTCCTTGTTGGACATCTGCCTCAGCACCACCTATTTCCATTTCAGAGAGCACCATTACAGACAGAAAGATGGATGTGCCATGGGCTCCCCGATTTCTCCAATAGTGGAAAAACATGTGCATGGAAAAGGTAGAGAGAAAGGCTCTTACCTCCTTCAAAGGAGCAGCACCTAGCCCTGGTTCAGATATGTGGATGGCACCTGAGTTAAGATCAAAACACATGAAGTAGAGGCCTTAACAGACCATATCAACACAGTGGACAGCAACATAAAGTTCACCCACATGTCACATGTCAAGGACAATGTGTTGGCCTTTTTGGATTGTGCTGTACACTTGGAGTCTCAACTTTGAAGTGTACAGGAAACACCCACATACGAATCAATATTTACTTTTTGATTCCCACCATCTTCTGCAGCACAAACTGGGTGTTATCAAAACACTCAACCACCGGGCTGAGAACATTCCGCCGAAGAAAGAAGGTAAGGAAAAGGAACAGAAGCACATCAAAAATGCCCTGACAACCTGTGGACATCCTAAGTGGGCCTTTGTAAAGAACAGTAAGAAAAATAACACTGAACATGAAAGGGAGGAGAGACGCAAGAGCACTGTAATCCCTTATTTTGCAGGCCTGTCGGAAAAACTCAAGAGGATCTTTGGTTAAAGACCATATTCCTCCATCAGTTCATTTCAAGCCTGGTAACACACTAAGGCAGAGGCTAGTCCATTCCAAGGACAAAACACAGAGACATAAACAGAGTAACGTGGTGTAGGCTGTCCAGTGCAGCAAGGAATGCTCGGACCTGTACATTGGGGAAACTAAACAACCGCTTCAAAAGTGCATGGCTCAACACAGGAGAGCCACTTCCGCAAGTCAGGACTCAGCTGTCCACCTTCGCTTAAAGGACACGGGTCACTCTTTCGAGGACAGCAATAGAGAAGACATATAGTTTGAAAGAGGAGTTAAAGAAGCCATCTTTACCAGACTGGAGAAACCTTTCTGAACAGAGGGGTGGACTCAGGCACAATCTCTCCGGCACTTACAATGCATTTCTCAGCTCTATCCCCAGGAAGCTCCACAAACATTCACACCTGGGACCACATGACCCAGGTGGCATGAGTCATGTGGTCACATGACAGGGGTTGTTAACGACCCTTTCAGGTTAACGACCCTCGGGGGTAACACCCGGAAATGGGTTTCTACGACATTGTTTGTCCCCTTCTCCATATGCTCCTCACACTATCAATTTTTAGAACTTAAGAAGGTTCTTGGATAAGAGGTGAAACGTCTTCTCAACCCTACACAGTCCAGTTACCTGTTTTTGGAGTCTTTAAGAAAACCATGACCTGGATGAATGAGAATCTACATGGACTTCCTGATCATATCCTAAGGTCACTGGTCATCTTCTTTTTTCCAAGTCCTGCCATGAACTTTTGAACACAGGATTATGTACCCAAGCACAGTACGCCAATCTATGAGAAGGTGTTTTACAGCCTAACAAAGTCAATTTCATGAACAATATTGACACAATGGGTTCCAGTTTTGTGCCTGCCAGCAGCGCGGTGCAGGGGAGTGCACCCCGGGCAGTGGTGTTTTCTTGCAGCGCAGCAAGGCGCACAGCGAGTTTGGTTTTTTCGTAGACTGAGGCGCACTGAGGTGTGCCAAGCTGGGCGTGGTAGTGCAGTAGGGGGAAGTGTCATCAGAATCAGCTGGCACAGTGACATTTTCGTGCTTGCCACGGGCAGCATAAAAAGTGTGCTGAAAGCTTGCCAATTCAATCCTGGTCAGCTTTCGATGTGGATGGAGTGCAGCTGGTCAAGTGGTACTTAGGTAGATCAGCACAGTAGTAAGTACATGTCACAAATGTCTAGCAAGCAGGTTACTACAGTGTCAGGCACATTTCAGTACAATAAATAATCAACAACAACCACTAATCAGTGCAACTATCTGAGTTAGCAAATAAATTTAGATCTAAATTGATATATTCTGATGTATATTTTATCTGATGAGAGCAGTTGGCAGAAATTTGAACAAAACAATAAAATGAATTTTCCTTTAAAACTACCTGTTTATCTAATGTTTTCACATCCTTAAATTTCTGTGAATATTCAATCTGGAGTTAGGCCCACATACATGCAGCTGATATAAAATGTCTATAAAAAACTTTTTCCACCTTTAATGTGACCTATAACCTGTACAATGCAATTGAAAAAAAATGAAACCTAAAATAAAAATTAAATAAAAAATAGAAAAGTTAAAATAACCTGGTTGCATAAGTATTCACACCCTTAAACTAATACTTTGTTGCAGCACCTTTGGCTTCATTACAGCACTTAATCTTTTTGGGTAGGAGTCTATCAGCAGGGCACATCTTGATGTGGCAATATTTGCCCACTTTTCTTTGCAAAAGTGCTCCAAATCGGACTGATCTGGCATCTCCTGGCATCTACTGTGCACAGCCCTCTTCAGATCACCCCACAAATGTTCCATGGGATTCAGGTCTGGGCTCAGGCTGGGACATTCCAAAATCTTAATCTTATTCCAGTGAAGCCTTCTTTTGTTGATTTAGATGTGTGCTTTGGGTCATTGTCATGCTGAAAGATGAAGTTCCCCTTCATCTTTAGCTTTCTAGCAGAAGGCAGAAAGTTTTGTGCCAACACTGACTAGTATTTGAGACTTCAGATGTCTTTTTGCAAAATTAAGCCAGGTTTTGATGATTTTCTTTGTGAGATAAGGCTTCCATCTTGCCACCCTACCCCATAGCCCAGACATTTGACGACAGCGGGAGATTGTTGTCACATGTACTACACAGCCAGTACTTGCCAGAAATTCCTGCAGCTCCTTCAGTGTTGCCGTCTGCTTCTTGATAGCCTCCCTGACCAGTTTTCTTCTTGTCTTATCATCAATTTTGGACAGACATCCTGTTCTTGGTAATGTCATCATTGTGCCATATTTTCTCCACTTGATGATGAAGGTCTTTACTGTGTTCCATGGTATATCTAATTCCTTGGAAATTCTTTTGTAGCCCTCACCTGACTGATATTTTTGAATAATGATATCCCTCTGATGCTTTGGAAGCTCTCTGTGGACCATGGCTTGTGCTGGAAGATGTGGCTACAAAAATGTCAGAAAAAGACTACTAAAGACTAGAACAGCAGAACTTTATTTGGGGTTGATCAGAGGCACTTTAATTGGTGACAGGTGTGTGCTGACTCCAGTTTAACCTGAGTTTGAATGGTATTGGTTAAAGCTGAATACAGCCATATCCCCAGTTACTAAAGGGTGTGCACAGTTGTGATCTGTGCACACAACACACCTTTGTCAAATGGGGTTTAAATAAATGCAACTTGATTTGAGTGTCTTCATCTGTGGAAAAGTGTGTTTGTCTTACCAGTGGGTACAACCTTACACACACCAAATCCATCTGTGTTAATTTGAGAAAGTGTGCAGGACGCCCTCTGCAGCACTAAGAGCAGCACTTGTTAAGAGGCTGCGTCCTGTCACCTCCGTGTAGCGTTGCTGTCTTCAGCCGTCTTTTGATCTCTTTGACTACTTTCCGAAATTTGTAATACACCTTGCCGATGGTGGATTTAAAGGTGAGGAGAAGAGCTGATGTGGTGAAAACAAGACTCGGCTGTGTTAAACCCACTCCATGCCTCCTCCTGTCCCCCTTTCCTACTTGCGTCGCTGGGAGGAGCTGAGTTGGGGGCCGGGCTGCGCTGCTTGCCAAAATACCAAAGTGTGCTTGGGTATGTCTCATTGGCATGGCAGACTTGACTTACGCAGCGCCTGTACCACACCACCAGCAAGGCATGAAAATAGAGCCTTTGAACTCTGCTGTTGACCAACCCATTTGAATGTGAAGTTTACCTTCATCATACAATACCACAATATTAAAACATAGAGGAGCTCCTGACGATTTCCTGACCCTTACATTTAGCAATCTGAAAACTCTTAATACCTGTGAGACTGATGTTGTAGAGGGAATAGAAATAACCCCCAATAATGTTGCAGTTAACTATCTGAAATATGCTCCCCAAGTTTTTCTGTCTGTTTTAAACTAAAACACATACACACACACACACAAACATAAAGTAAAGTACCCTGAGTCAGCGAGGAGACCGAGGTCAGGTCCCATCATTGAGGTTCTTTTCTTCCTCTGACCTCAGGCTCATCTCTCTTTGATCTCTGTATACCTTGGCTGAATCCTCAAAGCCCTCTACTTTCTCATTTATTCTTAGGATGAAAAGGAGAAACCTCTCATCCAGCCAGCATCCTGGAAAGCTGGGTAAATGCCCCTCTTCTTATTTCTGGTCTTTGAAGTGTTCAGTTCCCATCGACAGCATGCAGCAGGTGGAAGAAGCACAGACATTATATGAGATAATGTAAAAAACATGTCAGTGGACTTGTGTCTCCACACAACTACTGGTTATTGTTTCATAGCATCTTAAGCAATGCAGTAACAGCTTATTTGACATAAATGTATGCTTTTTTTGGTAAATCAGGGAAAGTAAAGGAGTTCTCACCACAAAAGTACAATTCTGACTTTTGGTGAGATAGGGTATATACCAGTGGCGGCTGCTGGTCTTTCAAGGAGGGGAAGCTCATTTTTCTGGACTACATCATAAATGTATTTGTTTATTAGTATGTAACAGAACAGAGTCGCCAAACACATTGGCAGTCGTTTTTAACAAAGACAAAAGTCGCTGAGGATCGGTAAAGTCTCCGGAGCAGTTAAGAACAACGGAATGAATAACTTGGAAAATGCTCTGGTAGATGTTTTATTCTTCAAGATCGCTGATTCGCTTGTTTAGCTGTCAATCAAAAAAGGATTTCGCCTCAGACAGCTCATCCAATCATGGATGCAGAAGCTCGGAGTCCGGGAGGAAGTCGGGACCGCCCTCTCGCCATAGAACTCCAGAGACGCCGAGCGTCCGATGGGCGGGACAAAGCCCAGCATTTATCCAATGAGCGTCTAGTTTCGCTGCTGGAACAACCCACTTTGAGCTTCCACATTGAAGTCAGCAGAAGCCCAGCGTCCGGCTGTTTAAAGCGCTGAGGCGCTGCGAGGATGAATGAGAACGAAGTTATGCCGGTTACCTGTGATTATCAGCTTCTTATCACAGTGTCTGAACAAAAGATGAAGGCTTTCTAGCGCGTATTTAGTTAATGAAATGTACACACAGCAGTACGTATTTCACCACTTTTTCTTTTTTTTTTGGGGGGGTGACATTAAGGGAAGCTGAGCTTCCCTTGCAGTCTTAGAGCAATCGCCACTGGTATATACCTAGTTCCAGTGGCGGCTGCTGGTCTTTCAATGAGGGGAAGCTCATTTTTCTGGCCTACATCATAATTGTATTTATGTATTAGTATGTAACAGAACAGAGTCGCCAAACACAACGGCAGTCGTTTTTAACAAAGACAAAAGTCGCTGAGGATCGGTAAAGTCTCTGGAGCAGTTAAGAACAACGGAAAGAATGACTTGGAAAATGCTCTGGTAGGTGTTTTATTCTTCAAGATCGCTGATTCGCTTGTTTAGCTGTCAATCAAAAAAGGATTTCGCCTCAGACAGCTCATCCAATCATGGATGCAGAAGCTTGGAGTCCGGGAGAAAGTCGGGACCGCCCTCTCGCCATTGAGCTCCAGTGAAGCTTAGCTTCCATTGGGCGGGACAAAGCCCAGCATTTATCCAATGAGCGTCTAATTTCGCTGCTGGAACAACCCACTTTTAGCTTCCACATTGAAGTCAGCAGAAGCCCAGCGTCCGGCTGTTTAAAGCGCTGAGGCGCTGCGAGGATGAATGAGAACGAAGTTATGCCGGTTACCTGTAATTATCAGCTTCTTATCACAGTGTCTGAACAAAAGATGAAGGCTTTCTAGTGCGTATTTAGTTAATGAAATGTACACACAGCCGTACGTATTTCACCACTTTTTCTTTTTTTTGGGGGGTGACATTTTAAGGGAAGCCGAGCTTCCCTTGCAGTCTTAGAGCAATCGCCACTGCCTAGTTCATACCTGAGCAAATTTGATGAAGAGAAGAGTTAGCATTGTCATGTTACATGCTTTTTTGACACATTTGCCCCATTCAGATTTTCCCTTTTCAAGGATTGGGGTAGGTGTAAAGAATAGCCAGAAAATAAATAAATAAAATAATAGAAAAAATATAAATAGATGTATAAAAATAATAACAACAACTAACAGAAGAAGCAAACAAAGGCAGAAACAGACAAAGGAAAATTGACAGTTCAAAAGCACAATTAAAAATGGACAGTTAAAGATTGGCGGTTGGTTGACGGCATCATATCAGGATGGTGAAAAGGAAGGAGCTGGATAGAGGACAGATAAAAGAGGAAGAGAAATAAATACATAGATAATAAAATAAGATTAGGTAAAATAAGGGTAATAATGAAAAGGACTCAACTTTGGAACAGCCAGTGGGCCCCTGCCCAAGGATCTAAGGCTGTGGGCTAGCTAACAAGGAGTCAATAGGTCAGATATGTAGATTGGGGCCAGACCTGTAAAGGCTTTAAATGTGATCAGTTAAATCTTAAAATCAATTTGAAAGCGGACAGGAAGCCAGAGGAGAGAAGCAAAGACAGGAGTGATGTGATGCCATCTGTTTAAACCAATTAAAAGCCTAGCTGCTGCGTTCTGGACTGGTTGGAGGCAGAAGAGTGACTTTTTGGAGATGCCGGAGAGAAGGTGAGTTACAGTAGTCTAACCTTGAGAAGAGGAATGCATAAATGACCCGTTTTAAATTGGCAGAGGGAAGAATGGATTTGATTTTGAAATGGACCTGATCTGAATGAAATATGATTGGACTATTTTCTCAATGCGCTCTTCAAAGGTAAGGTTGGAGTCAAGGATATTATTTATCTGGGTGATATATGGGTGTGAGTAATTAAAAAGTATGATTTCAGACTTTGATTCATTTAACTGCAGAAAACTTTAGGCCATCCAACTTTTAATATCCCTGAGACAGTTAAAAACAACAGCTAGGCATTTTGGGTCACCAGGTCTCAGTGGTAGGTATAACTGTGTGTAATCCGCATAGCAGTGGAAGGACAGATTATGGCGCTGAATGAGTTCACTGAGTGGAAGCATGTAAACAGTGAATAAAAGTGGACTTAAAATAGAACCTTGCCGTACACCACAGGTATTACAACAGGTGGAGGAGAAGGAGTGGTTACCTATGGTGACCGCAAAGGTTCTATTTAAAGGTTAAGAACCAATTTAGTGCAGTACCCTTGACACCAACCCAAGTCTCAAGGCGATGCAATAAAATGGTATGATTCACAGTGTCAAATGCCACACCTAAATCTAAAAGGATTAAAATTGCACTCTCTCCTCTGTCGGGTGCTAAAAGGAGGTCATTTATGACCTTGAGGAGGGCGGTTTCAGTACTGTGCAAAGCTCTAAAACCTGACTGAAATTTCTCAAAGGTGTTGTTTTCATTCATGAAGTCTAAAATCTGTGTTGAAACTACTTTTCCTCAAACTTTGGATAAGAATAGTAATTTACAAATTGGCCTACATTTACTATTAACTGACGGGTTAACATTGTGTTTATTTAAAAGAGGCTGGACCACAGCATGTTTTAAAACAGAGGGAAAATGACCAGACAAAAGTAAGCAGTTAATAATTGATAAAATACTGGGCCAAACAGGCCAAACAAGACTTCTTTGAGAAATTAAGTGGGGATGGAGTCAAGGATGCATGTAGTTGGATTCATATGTGAAATGAGATGCAATGAGATTGGAAAAAAACTGCTAAAATTAATGTCAATCAGTCTTGGAGAAACACAGTCAGAAGTAGCTATCTGTTGCCTTATATCTTCAAACTTTTTGGTAAAATAAGTTAAAAATGACTTACATGCTTCTTGTGAGGCATCAGTAAAATGACAAGGGGCAGGGTTGGTAAAAGAGTCTCGGATATTGAATAAAACTCGGGTTGGACTGATTGGATTAAATGAGATTTGAGTTAAATGATGCTCTTGCTTCTTTAATTGCTTTGTGGTAGTTTTTCATGGCATCTTTCCAGATTTCATAAAAAACAACAAGACCAGCTTATTTTCCATTTTCTTTCACAACACCTGCAGACCCTTTTTAGGTCTTCAGTTGTGTTGTTTAGCCAGGGTTGTGGCATTCTAAAAGAGTGTTTGGTCTTGTATGGGGCAATAGAATCTAGGGTGCTTTTACAAATATGATTAAAATGGAGACCAGCTCCTCTGTGTTGAAATCTGGATTAAAAGCAGTTAAAGAAGTAGCGGTAAAAAGCTTGGAACACCAGCTGGAAGAATAAGGGGTAAAAATATGACGGGAGTAGGGAATACTGTTAAAAACAGGTAAAAACTTTAAAACAACACAAAATAAAACAAATTTATGGACTGACACACAGATATCCTTGATTTCAAAGTTGTAGGGGCTGAGACCATGGTGTAAAACTAAATCTATGGTGTGACCTTTTGAATTAGTGGGGACTTGAATAGACTGCAAGATTAAAAGATTCTAAAATGTCCATAAAATCAGTGGTTGTAGCCTGTCAGAGACAGCATACATGAATGTTAAAATTACCTAATATGAGAACTTTGTCACTCTGTCACTTTGTCAAAGACAGTTTGGCTTGGGATGTCTGTAGATGATTAAAACTACAATGGGGGCTCTGGAGTGTACAATAAAACCAAGGTGTTCAAAAGAAGTGAAAGAAGAGCGGTGTCCGTGTCATTGGGTTGAGGCTCCCCTCATGACCGATGGAAACTTTGGTGGGGCCTGAGTTGGACTGTCAGGGATCTCCATGTTGTTGGGGGATATATTTTGATTTCAAAGCACTTCAAACTTATTATCCAGCCAAATGCTGGCAGCAGGTGAAGCAGTCACAGATTGAGGAGAGCAGGAACGGCACTTCCCATGCTTCTTACCTAAGACAGCTGTCCGGGATTCCTGAGGAGCCAGTGTGGAGGAGATCTGAACTTTTGGTTTGGCACCAAGCCTGGGCCAATCTTGTTCATCCTCTTGAATGGACCGGATACCTGGCCGTAACGGGTCGAGGATGGCAGGGGCAGCCAAGGGAGAGTGGTGTTGTTACCAGGGACATGGGAGGCCTCTGTAGTCACTGAGTCTTTAACCCACAATTAAGAGCCTTTGTTGCATTGGGGCAACTCCGCTGTGGCTGCAGTATGGTCCCTGGCATTTCACACAAAGAGCACATGTCACGTTTCACTGAGAAAACTCTGTGATCCTTAGTGAGCATTGTCTTTTTATTAAAAACCTTTTAATGATGTTGTTGTGTAGCAGTCACTCATGCCATTTATTACCTAGCAGAGTTTTATGCCATGTTCACTGTTGGGCGGTAAAAGAAAGAGGGAGTATTAAATCAAAGAAAATCACTGTAAAGTTAATGTTGTTTGAAGAAGAGCCGAAATATAGGCTATGGATTTACGCTGCAGTCGCTATTTTTTTTCCTTGCAACATGTTAATTTTGAGCATGTTCACTGTTGGGCGGTAAAAGAAAGAGGGAGTATTAAATCAAAGAAAATCACTTGCGCAACTAGACTGTTACTTATCTCCGCTTGAGTATGTAACTATTTGATTTTGGAAATGTTTAAAGTGCACTGAGACTCCTATTTACTTGAATTATTGATATTTTCTTTGGATTAAGTGTTTGAATATTGAATATTCAGTAATATATTGCTTGTGTGTAATACATACATTGAATTTCTTTTTGTTTGATCTAAAAATAGTGAATAATTTTCTTTTGATGAAAATGATATTCATTTATGTTTTGGCCTTTTTTTAGTTCAGGTTTTTGTAACAGATTATAGATCATCACTATCAACACCACCCTCATTACAGCTATAAATTCAGCCAGTACTTCCACGTTCAACTCAACCAGATGGCGAGATAACCCCAGAAAGGACAAACTTTTGGATTTTATGGTGTTGTTGGAACATCCAGACTTGGGGTTGTGTGGAATTGATTACGAGTTTTTTTTCCCCTTGGCCAAAATGTCAACCATTTTTTATTTGCAATAAATGTTTTGCTTTCTTTGTGTTGTTCATTCTTTGAAAATATTTCTTCGATACAAAACATAAAACAAAACCATATCTTTTGTCTGTGTATCATTTACCCACACTTCGGGCTCCTTAAGAACTGGATTCTTCTGAGGAAAGTATACATAGCCCAAAAGTAGTGTTACAAGTCCATCAGACGTTCGGCATCTTGGATCTGATATAGAGTGGACGTCTGACCCTCGAGTTCAGCTACTTTCTGGGAAAGATGACAGCATCCATCACAGTTCGGTGGAGAGGTAAGTGGAGGCACAGCCTTAGAGTTATTTAAAGCCGGTTGCTAAGGTAAACAGTTCACTCAGGCAGGGGGTCCGCTCAGTGTTTAAGGTCCAAAAGTTTCCAATCGTGGTACAGAAAAGGCGTCTCTTGTTTAGTTAGAGCAAGCTATATTTAAAGAGACGTAGTGAATTGCAGAAAAAGTAGTAAAACACGAGTAGAGTGGTAGAAAAAAGTATGAAAGAGGAGCGCGATCTGACAGCAGCACAATGGTGACTGACAGCATCAAATCTCTTATGCTGATACTTTTCTAGGTGTTGTAATGTTTATACTGTCTGTCAGCTGATGAAAGTAATGACTGACATCAACTGGATGAGTATTTAATGTCAGCATTTTTAAGGCAACAACTTTGGGAAACAGATTTGGAGAACATATCTACACAAACAGTGCTTTTATTGTTAACACCAAATAGTGTGATGAATAATAATCACACTGTCCTGCAGTCTCTCCTTGGTTCATACAACACAGAGAACAACACACAGCATCTTTGTTTTGGTCATGCAGCTTTTGCTGGCTTTTGTTAAAGTTCATCACTCACCCAGACCCTGTCTCCAGCAGGTCATAGTTCTTAGTGAAAAAGCTGAGGGTAAAAACAGTCATGTATGCTGCTCAGCATCAAATGCTAAAGACAGAATTTAGCATCTGGGGGGCAACTTTAAACTGTAGAAGGTGGGTGATAACTCTGACGACTTCATTTTTTATAGTCAGTCAAAATATTATTCATACATTTACACACAACTTGACTTCAGGGTATAAGACAGCCCTCCTCTAGATAGTTGTAAAGGACAGTGAGGCTAGACAGCTATTTCTCTGAGTATACACGGAAATATTCAGGTGATATAAACACCTGTATTGTTACAAAGACAGTGTTCAGTGTGTAATGAAAATGAGCAGAATATTTGACGAAAGGAGGATTTACTCAGTAAGAAGAACTCGCCATCATAAGAAGGATGGCTTGGACATGAAGTCAATTTTCAACAAATGAGACAACCAAAGACCAGACTCTTTTGAGCACCATCTGAGTCATTTTCTACAACACAGGCCCTTCAAAAACCAGACCTTACTGGACCTAACTGGATGTCATTGGACCTCATTTAACCTCACTGGAGCTCACCAGACTTTACCAGGCCTCACTGGACTTTGCTGGACCTCACTGAACCTCACTGGCTTATGGATGTGCCTGTGTGCATACATCAACTCCTGCATACACATGAATGAGTCCTCAGTTGCTGTCTTATCCAGTCATTGCTTTTGTTGGCTCTGTGAAGTTTTGATGAGCTGCAGAGCTGGAGAACTTCTAGCCTGTGAAATTATTTTGAGATTGAGGTTACAGGCCCCCCAAAAATAACTGATTGATTACATGATACTCAGTGTAAGCTAAGGGGTTTGACTATTGTGTTATTTATGCTGAAAAACCTGATGAGAATAAAAAAAAATGTAATGCTGTTTCTGACACAAGCACACAAACAGATAAAAAAGGTCTGAACCAAAGGGCTCCAATGCATCTGCAGCAGAAAATCCCTTTAACGGTGACTGAAAGACCTGACCTGAGATGCTAACTGACTTAAATTGCTCTTTTTTCAGTTCTCTAATCACTTCTCTTGCAAAGCCTGAAGCATAGACTGTATATACTATGGACAACTTGGCCCTGTCTTCTGTCATTATACTTATGTGAAGCCGAATTGCTCCCTGTATTTTTTGTGGGATTTTCTCCACTTCCTGGAACCACCACTTGTGCAGTAGTGCTGTAATGATGCTCTGCTCAAGCAGCATATCCTCAAGATGAGCTACACAATCTTCATATGCCCATAGGCTGTATCAAGTGTCAATCACAGAAATCATGAACCCCCTAATATCTTTTTAAAATGGAGCTGCACAAAAAAAAGAGGACTTGAGTACATATCAGCCCTACAATTACTACACGTCAACATTACAACCAGGGTGGAGAAACATTTATATTCTGTGTAATTATTTTCTAAAGTTTGTCCACAACTCCATTGGGATTGCTGGGGGAGGTGGGATTTATGACCTATACTGCAGCCCGTCACCAGGGTGCTGTTCTCTCTGAGGCTTCAACCAGCAAGGTAGCAGACGAAGTCCACTCTCTATTCAGTCTATGGCCCAAAGTCATAATGGTTAGCTGAAAATGTGCTTATTACCCCCCCCCCCCCCCCAAACATGCAGCTGTGGTCGATCAGGCAGTGCTTAGGAACAGAGAATGCAGCCTGGGCCTTGCTGAATCTGCTATATGCAGTTTGTCAGAGAAGCATGGGTAAGAGATGGAATTCTTAGGGTGAGTTTTAGATTAAACTCAATCAGATTTGATCCTTAGATAGTATCTACTTTATAGTAGAGGTTAACTTATTTTCAAAGAAAGTATATTTGAGGTTTTTTTTATCATTAGACAGCAGCAAATTATCATTAACACTATGGGCTCTATTTTCATGCGCGCCGGTGAGGCGACGGAGTGTTGCGGACCCTGCGCAGTTGTATTTTCATCTGGCGGAGCCCGCCGTAAAGCCAGTTTGGTATTTTCGTGGACTGAGGCGCTCGGAGGCGAACCAAGATCCGCCAAGCTGGGCGTGGTGGCGTGGTAGGGGGAGGTGTCGACAGAATCAGCGGGTGTGTAAAGTGCGCTGGAAGCTCGCCAATTCAAACCTGGTCAGCTTTCAGCGCAGGCGGAACGCAGCTGGTCTAGTAGTATTTTGGTAGACCGGCGGCGTATTGGCATGCGTCACTGATGCCTCACCTGCAGGTTTCCATAGTGTCAGGCACATTTCAGTGCAATAAATAATCATCAACAACTAATAATCTGAGTCAGCACATACATTTAGATCTATATAGATATATTCTGATCTATATCTGATCTGATGAGCGCGTTTGGCATGCGTTTGGACACACAACCTGACCTAATCAACACAGCTGAAACCGCATTAAATTGAATTAAATATCTAGTAAATAGACACACATGATGAAGTTAACTAGATATGTAATTCGTCTCCCTTTTATTTCTTCCGCTTCCCCTTATTTCTCGCGCAGCTCGACCTGGACACGTCTCCGTGTCCTCTCTCTGTCCTGCAGCGGCTGAACAGATGATTTGTTTCAGTGCCCAGATGCGTTATCTACTTTAAGCCGACATATGAATATTATAATATTCCGTTTTGTGAGGCAAATTTATTTTATATGCCAACATCTATGAAAAAAAGAGCCCAGCCATGGAGTGTGATGCTTCATTTACGCACAGATGGTTCCAATTTTAATGCCATTTTTGGAGTTTATGTTGTGATCTGTGCACAAAACCCACCTTTGTCACGTGAGGTTTGAATATGTGCAACTTTATGTGAGTGCCTTTATTTGTGTAAAAGGGTGTTTGTCTTACCAGTGGGTCCAACATTACACACACCAAATCCATCTGTGCTCATATGAGAGAGTGTGGAGGACGCCCAATGCAGCGCTTACAGTGACACTAGTTGAGGAGCTGCCCTCTGTCGCCATTGTGTGGCAGAACTGTCTTCAGACATTTCTTGATCTCTTTGACTACTTTGCGAAAATGTCAATACGCCTCGCCTGTGGCGGATTTAAAGGCAAGGAGAGGAGCTGATGTGATTGGTGAAAACAGGTCTCAGCTGTGTTAAACCCACTCCACGCCCTTTCTCCTCCCTTGCTACGACTTACGCCACTGGGAGGAGCTGAGTTAGGGAGGGGGGATACTTACGCCGGGCTCCGCTGCTCACCAAAATACCAAATTGTGCTTGGGAACGCCTTGTCGGCGTGGCGGACCTGCGGCACGTCTCCGGCGAGGCACGAAAATAGAGCCCTATGTCTCTCATTATTATCTTTGAATAGCAGCACATTTTACAAAGTAAATACTTCTCACTAAATGTTCCAGTACATATAACTTTGCAGAGAAATAACTACAGCAGCCAAAAACAAAAATGTATTTGAATCATGGACGGTTATGACAATCTCTTCTCTTTCATACCCCCTCTCTGAGATATGTAGTCATTACTGATCCAAAGTCTAAGGTGATAGTGTATGCCTCTATTTCCTCAGGAAGAATTTTATCTGCTGTACTGAGGGATTTAAACTGGCAACATACTGGTCTTTATCCATGTCTTCAACATGCCATTGCCTCATATTTTCATTTGGTGGGTGATAGTCCACCGACACTGTGGTGCAAGGAGGTTGGAATCCTAACATATCATTACTGGTCTATTGGGAGAGACTTGAGAAGATTAATGATCATTTCAGTCAGTAGAGGAGTTATGGCTGCCGGGGTTGCTGGGGCAACAAGCTAGAGTTGAGTGTAGGTGGGTAAACAGTGCGGTTAATGTTCTGAATACATGCAACAATGATCCCAAAGTGTGTATGACTGTGTGCATGTTGTGCTTGAAGTTGATTTGTATGTGTAAAGTGCATGATATGTGTTCTACATTTGCAGGAGTCCAGTGTGTCTTAAAGAATATCTAGATATATGCATGGTCTGATCTGAAATGTGCCAGTTTTAGTCTCCCCTGTAGTTCTTGGCTGATCACACTTTTCCCACGACTCCCTAACCTCCTGGAATCTTACTTGTCTAATGAAACTCAGGAGGGGGCTATTATCTGTTAACATATCCCAATGGAAGGAACCATGTAGAAAATTTTTTTGTCAGAAATTAAAACCTTTTAAAATATGTTGCTTTTGAAAGATGTCATTAGTCAAAACATTGAACAGTTATATTGTGACATTATTTTGCAGTAACATGTTTAAGTTTATTATTGAATCTTTTTAAAAAGACAGATGGATACAGATTATAACAAAAAACCTTCATACTAATGTAGAACTAGAACCCAAAATTGAACCGAAATTGAAGCCATGCCCCCTAAGCCCATATCTAGGTCTGTGAAGATAGGCCCACATTGGGTAAAGGTGTTCTATTATGGACAGGCACCAGTTAAGAGACAACACTGTGACAAAAAGGAAGCAGAGGAAACTGCACCCAGTCCACAATACAGTCCAACCACTGAACACTCATTTAAGATCATAAGAGAGACCTATGAAAAGTATGTGGAAAAACCACCCTCTTCACCTGAGCATGCTACAGAGTCAGCTGAACTGAAAACAGTGGACTCTGAGATGGAGAACATCACCTCACATGCTACAGGGTCAGCCGAACCAGAAGCAGTTGACTCTGAAATGGAGAACATCACCTCTCATACTACAGAGGAAAAAGGTGATGAGTCTGGAGATGTCAGTGCCGAAGACCTTACTGCAGCTACAAACACCGCAACCAAGAAGAAAAATAAACACAAGAAAAAGAAAAAAGAAATCAAGGAAGCAACTGAAATAAATGAAAACATATCCATAAACTGTGTGAAAGAGAGATCCAAAGATACCATCAAGATGAACCGTGGACGGTCAAACTTACTTGGAAGAGTAACAAATGTGGATACATCGTCAATTAAATCTTACTTCCAGACAGTATCACTCCTGCAGACCAAGAGGCCTAGGGAAGTGACGTCACCAAGTTCAGAATCTGTAACAAGCTCACCAGCGAAGAAGAAGGTGGACACAGTAGACACTGGCCACCAGGAGGCAGCTGAAGCACCAGGCACCATTAGCAGCCCAGAAGGTGAAGGAGAAAAAGGAATGGTTGGAGAGGGAGCCAGGAGAAAACCTGGAGGACTCTTCCCATGATTAAAGAGGAAAAAAAAATGATTACTGTGGAAAAAGCACACTCATGATACATATTCTAATCATGGTTATACTTTTAACATAGATATTCTATGAGGGTATATTACACTTAAATATGGCTTTGGACAGACTGTGTGTTTTGCCCCTGAATGTTAGGGGGCTTCGAAATAATTATAAAAGAGCCCAAGTTTTTTCTTGGATCAGAAAACAACATGCAAGTATTATAATGCTACAAGAAACATATTTTACTAATGATCTAATCGGAAAAGGAATGGAAAGGAAAAGCTGTGCATAATATTGGAACAAACCACAGTAGTGGTGTAAGTATTCTATTTGACCCTAAACTGAACAATATTGAATTGAAATAGTTTAAGGATGATCTTGGGAGAAAAATATGTGTCAATCATAAGACTGCCGACAAAGCATATTCATTTCTTAACATTTATGCCCCTAATGTGTGTGGCGATAGGATCATATTTTTAAATGAACTGTCCAGGTGGCTTACTGGTATTGACCTACATGACATAATTATAGGTGGGGATTGGAATACTGTCTTGAATTTGGAGATGGATAAAAGCCCCCCTATAACCCACTCACCAGTGTATTATCGTAAAGCAGCTGAGGTAATTGGTAATTTGTGTAAAAACTTCCAACTATATGATGTATGGAGAGAGAAATACCCAGGGCTAAAGCAGTTTACATGGAGACGTAAGAATCCAGAAACAGCTTGTAGATTGGATTTCTTTCTAATTCATCAAGACTTAGAACAGAATGTGGTAAATGCAGAAATTAAAGCTGCTATAAAAGCAGATCACCAGGCCATTATGTTGATTATAACATTGGAGCACTCAATTCAAGGCCCAGGTATTTGGCACTTTAACAACAGCCTCTGTGAAGACAAAATGTATAGGAATACTCTGATCACAATTATTGAAGAATGCCAAAATTATTTCAGTGGTCAAGATCATAGAACATTTTGGGATCTGTGTAAATTCAGGATCAAGGAAAAAACTAAACAATATTGTCAGAATAAAGCTAGAACTAGAGCTGAATGCTTGACTACCTTAGAAAATAGTCTCCGTGACTTCAAAAGAAAAGTAGATCATGAACCAAATAGGGTAAACATGGAAAAATACGATGAAGCAAAAAGACAGCTAGACCAATTATATGCATATTACACTGAAGGGGCAAAGATTCGCTCAAAAGTGAAACACTATGTTGATGGAGAAAAATCCACTAAGTATTTCCTTAATTTGGAGAAATCAAACAACAAAAAGCATACCATAAGTAGCCTGAGAGTTGGTAGTGAAGTATTCTGCCACACTGCTGACATCCTCTGTGAAGCTAGGAAGTTCTATCAGCAGCTCTATAAAACATGTGAGGCAAATCCCGAAACGGTAGACTGTTTTCTGAGAAATATAAACATAGACCATATTATATCTGAGGAAGCAAAACAGCTACTAGATGAACCACTGGTGGATAAAGAGTTTTCGGATGCTGTAAAGAATCTGAAGACTGGCAAAACACCAGGTACTGATGGAATTACATCAGAATTCTATCAGTGCTATTGGGATATTGTAGGAGTGTTTGTTATTAATTCAATCAGGGAAGGTCTTGCACATGAGCAGCTGGCAGACTCCCATATAAGAGCCATTTTGAAATTACTTTATAAAAAAGGAGATAACCAACTATTGGATAACTGGAGACCTATAAGTCTTTTAAACACAGATTTTAAAATACTTGCCTATGTGCTAGCCAATAGGTTAAAACCATTGTTACCATACCTAATCAATGAGAATCAAACTGCCTATGTAAAAGGCAGATTCATTGGACAAAACGTACGCCTTATTACAGATGCTACTGACTATACAGATGAAATGCAAATTCCTGGTATAGTTCTCTTTCTAGACTTTAAAAAGGCATTTGATAGTGTAGAGTGGGTCTTTTTATTTAAAGCACTAAAGAAATTCAACTTTGGGAGTTTGTTTTTAAGATGGATTCAAACTATTCATACAAACTGTAGTAGTGCAGTAGTCAACAATGGATGGACATCAGAATTCTTTGACCTTGGTCAGGGAATTAGGCAAGGTTGACCTTTGTCCGCAATCTCATTTCTTTTTGCCATGGAGACTCTAGCACTGTATATTAATCAAAATGAAAACATCAAAGGTATCAATTTGTCAGATGGAAGTGCTACCCATGAGGTTAAAACTTCACAAGTAGCAGATGATACTACTCTACTGCTTGGTGACGAAAGGTCACTAACTACAGCACAAGAAATGATATAATCTTTTGGCAAAGTTGCAGGCCCTGAATTGAACTTCAAGAAAACCGAAGCAATTTGGGTTGGTTGCTGGAAATTTAGGCGAAAAGAAATCAGTGGAATAAGGTGGCCAACTGGTCCTGTAAAATCACTTGGTGTATATTTTGGGTACAACAAACTTTCATGTGAAACAAACCTTTGGAATGAGAAAATCAATAATATAGAATATGTTTTAAATCTTTGGAGACAAAGGAATCTCACATTAAATGGCAAAGTAACTATTCTGAAATCATTGATTGCAGCTAAAATTCTGTACTGGGCTACTGTGTGTGATGTGCCAAATAATGTGACTGTCAGGCTGAATACTTTGTTTTTTGACTTTCTTTGGTCTGGAAAAAGAGATAAAATCAAAAGATCTGTTATTTTAGGAGATTATAATACAGGGGGTATAAAAATGTTAGATATTCAATCTCATATAGAAGCACTTCATGCTAGCTGGGTGAAGCGCATCATGGATACATCATCAGGAGATTGGAAACTGCTACCCAAATTGTATTTAAATAGACTAGGTAAAGATTTCCTTATCTTAAGAATGCCCTGTAAAGAAAAAAACACTGCCCAGATCTGACAGGAATCCCCACTTTTTATCAAGGCATTATTCAAAGCTGGCACAAAGCAGGACATAGTTTTGTGAGGGAACCATGTACAGCAGATGAAGTCGGAAACCATATCATCTGGGGATCTGCCTTTTTAACAGACTCTAGAAGGAAGTCCCTTTTTCTATAAACATTGGATTGACTCAGGCATAATTTATCTCAAAGATCTATCTGTAAAGGAAAAACCAAAGCTTCAAAACTGGATAAGAGAAATTAGCGAATTATGCATAATCAGAAAGGCAATTCCCAAAAAATGGCTCCCACTTCTGAACAACAGTATAACATTAAGAGATAACAACACTGATGCACACATTGCTCCGACAGGCTATACTTGCAAGATAATCTATAAGCTGTTGTTAAAAGAAAAAATAAAGACATCATATATGCAGACATATTGGGATGCTGCACTAGCCGACCAAACAAACGACATCATGTGGAGCAATGTGTGGCAGAGACGAACAATAAAATTATCTCCAGATAAGAAATTGGCCGAATTCAATTTCAAAATATTACATGGAATTTTTCCAAATATGTCAAACCTGTATAAATGGAAGCTGTACCCCACTCCTCTATGTGCTGTTTGTTTGGTAAAAGAAGATACAGAACATATGTTTGTTTCATGTCATTGTCTGGGTGGCTTTTGGAACCAGGTTTCTGCACTTATGTCTCAGTTTAATATCACCTTTAGAGTAGAACTGTCAAATATTATTTTGGGTCTCAGCACATCAGCAAGTAACAGATATTGTACAAATCTGACTCTAACAATAGCAAAACTGTTCATCTTTAAAATCTGGATGAGATATAAAGATGATGAACAAAGGTTTTCTACAGCAGACTGAGTATCTGTCTTTCTTTCGGAGCTGAGGTCAAGAATAAAAATTGACCTTTTGGTGGATGAGTCTAGAGGTAACAAAACCTGGGCAAACTTATTGTGGTTGTTGGACAGAACATAAAGAAAAGGTTACCTTTATTCTCTTTTTCTCTCTCTTTCCTCTGTATGTATACACTCCATCTATTTGTATATACATGATGTGTGAGGGTTTTTTATGCATCCTTTTTATACGCTGTTTTGTAATAAAATAAATAATTGAAAAAAAAAAAAGAGAACCGAAAATGACAGAACAAGTATGTGTGTGATTTAGAAGGTATTAACAGGCCTGTTTATGATGACAGATCTTAGTTTAATGAAACTTAATGCCACATTATGTGGTCTTGCCATGGCAGCAATAGCAAAAATTTAGGATTAATAACAAGGGCTGGAGTGATCATATCAGCAGCAGCTGAGGGTGATGAAGCTCAGAGACTCCCAGAAAGGATTAGTGACTGTGGTGAGCATGGACTTATTGTTTTATTTTGGTGAAGTATTTCCGGAGTCCTGTTTTTTGCTTGTGCTGTGTGTGTGGTTGCTTACCTTTCCCAGAGGCTTAAGATTGAAATAAGATTAAAAGTACATTGAAACCAAATACAACAGAATACATTCAAACATCATATAAAATCATATAAATCATATAAAAAGGAGGGGAGACAGTGCTGTAGGTCAGATGGAGTAAGCGAGTCTGAACAGGTTTGTTTTGAGTTGAGATTTGAACAAACTGAGAGATGTAGTGTTCCGGGGGGAAGAGAGTTCCAGAGGGAGCAAGGGAGCAGAGCAACTGAAAGCTCTGCTCCCCATGGTTGCCAGACAGACAGGAGGGACGGAGAGGTGGGTGGAGGAAGATGATCTGAGTAGGCGGGCGGGTGCGGCAATGTGGAGGAGGTCAGACAGATATGGTGGGGCGAGGTTGTGGATGGCCTTAAAGGTGAACAGTACAGTCTTGTATTGGATACGGTATATGATTAGGAGTCAGTGGAGCTGCTGGAGGATTGGTGTGATGTGGTGACTGGATGGGGTCCTTGTGATAATACAGGCTGCTGAATTCTGTACCAGTTGTAGTTCATGGAGAGTTTTTTGCAGAAGTCCAAACAGGAGGGAGTTGCAATAGTCCAGTCAGGAAGTGACGAGACTGTGGACCAGGATAGCAGCTGTGTGAGGTGTGAGAGAAAGGTGGAGGCGGTTGATGTTGCGGAGATGGAGGTAGGCTGAG